TTTGATTTTTTATAGATAGCAATTGTTTTTTTATTATTTGGAATTTGTCCGGGTTTTGCCAGCAAGTATAGTCAAAACACTAATTGGGGGATGGGTACATCACGATATTACCGATTTTTTAATTAAAATCGATTAATATTAGGGTTGGGATTAAATTAAATAATTTCTATAGTAAAATCACATTTCAGACACTTTTACTTAGTGAACCAAGACCGGTTTAGATAGCCAATTTTGTATTTTTCATGTTTTAGTCTTTGGCGTCTCACTTTGTTTTGTTCGGGCTGATCCGGGTTACATATTGGGTAATCTCGTGATGTACCTGGCTTTAGCCAACCCCCAAAATTGGAGGCTATTTTGATCTTTGATTAGATCCATACAAAAATATCACTAAAAAACGGTTATAAGATTTCATATCGATATTAAAAAATCACATTAATTGTTTTTTATCTAGTTCTTATATTGTGTTCAATTAAATCAGTAGTATGTTCTAAAGTTATCCCTTAAACTATATATTTAAGTGTACAAATTTGTACGCTTAAATTTTTAGAAGAAAATTGTGCTCTAAAAACAAATTTTTTTAATAAAACCTCTATTCTAATTGGTTATGGTGACTTTCAAAAACTCAAGTTACATGACACACTCCACAGTTAAGGTGTGAGACACTTCATGTGGCTTAAAAAAAAGCAAACCTTCACCTGATAACCGTGAAGTATTCTTTGCGGCCCACACTTTGAGCTGCTATATCTCTATAGCATCGCCTTAAAAACCAATAATATAAAGTTGACCATGAAGAATCTTTGATCAACTTTAATATTGTATTATAAAAAAAACTTGTGTATGCCAAATGTGAAGAATCTTTATAAGTGTCATGTGTAGTTTTTTTTTTTAGTATTAAATTTGGACATCAAAGTCCTAGTACAATCCTATTACAATTCACGTTAGATACCTAATTTTGAAACATTATAAAATTTTTTATAAAATAGATAATATATAGCATTCAACATGTGAAATGCTTTTATTTTAGCTTAGAAAGTGGGGGTAAGGCTTAATAAAATTTTGAATAATAGATTTTTAAAAATTTAAGCATACAAATATGTACACTTTACGGTTTAAGGGATAATTCATGATTATTAAAATTTATAAATGTAAGTGTGCTAGAAGTTGGTCCATTATGAATCACAGAAAAACTAGATTATTATTTTTTTTTTTTAAGGTGAGGTTTTCCTTTATCTTTATTAATATTTTGTATTAAGAATCCACTATGGGTTTCTTTGGCCAGAGCCAATTTACAAAAATTTTTACAAGAATGAAACTCAGATTACTAGAAACTATCTAAACTAGTAATTCTGATACATCTGCAACCTAAATCTATTAAAGTGGTTAAAATTCATCTAGATTTGATAATGTAAAATATTGTTAGTTGGGGTGTTATATTTAATCTATATAATAGCCATAGAAATAGTTTTCTAATTGCTTTCCCAAGAGGTGAACAAATATTATTATTATGTTGTTGGTCTGGTAAGCCACATAGGCAGCTATAAGTGTTTGGTATTCTAAGTTGTGTTATATTATGAGTATTTGTTATGGAATTGACCAGGGCGGCCATAAAAATTACGGGTCATATGAGTAGCGCCACTGCCGCAGTTGCATGAGATTCGAAAATTGAAATTCGTCACACATTTTCTCTTGAACCCTTTCTACCTTTATCAATAATGATTGCAATTTCAACTTTTTCTTCGACTTTGAAGCTTTATGCAATTGGTTGACCGATAAAATTTTAATTCACTGTATAGAAGTTTTAGACATTCGTAAAGAAGCAGGATTGCATATTGGCATTCGATCTTTAAATTCTCCTGCTCTATAAACATTTTTGGTTAAATCATTATCAACTTTAAAATTGTATAATTTGCTTCATTTCGGCAACAATTAAGGGTGCTCTCAAGCATCTATCAGTGTAATTAGCTAGCTATAGAGATTGTGCACAAATACTACACAACTCTATGATAAAAAAAGATGGTCTCTGACCATCTTTTTTTTCATCGTGATAATGAACTTGTTTACAGAAAAATTTATTTTCCACTAATTAAAATTGACCCATTAATTTAGATGCTTGAGAGCACCCTAAGATGGTAAGTATTTAATGTGATATTATTTATCAAGGTATGGAATGCCCAAATAGTATGAGTAGCATCCTAAAGGAAACATGAAGTAAGATTTAACTTTACAGAACAGTGTGATACTATTCATCATATAGTTTTGAGATATCCCAAATAGTTTGGATAACATCGCTAGATGTGAGATTGGAAATTTTGTTTAGTAGTTGTATTGTTGGTTTAGATAGTCTTGTAAATAGAAGAATCGTTTTCTAATAAATAACCTGATTTTTTTTTTAAACTATATTTAAATTTGCTTGTTCCAAGCCATCTTATTTAAAATATTAGATTCTGTATCATTTAAAATAAAATGTCTAGACTAATGTAATGTTAGAGTGTTTGTATCAGTTTAATAATGAAAGATCTCAATAAAATAAATTGATCAAAGCTCAGTACACGATTGTTAAAGTTTTTAAACATTGAAGGCCATTCATCACGTAATTTAATGTATTAAGACCCATAATTTGCAAGAGTACACGATTTAAGTTAGTTCAATTGAAATTCAACTTACCACTCTAGTAAACTGTTATTAATTTCTCATAAATAATACACTATAGTTCTAGTTTGAAAGAAATTCTTTTGTTGCTCATTTTAGGGTGTTGAGCTATATGTAAAATGATTAATATGAAATTGTTTTGTAATTGTTAATTGCTTTTGTTCACTTGATCAAACCAACCCATTATGTTTAATAACTGTTTTGCATAAAATTTATTAATTATGATTAATATATTAGGTAATTGCTTTTGTTCACTTGATCGAACCAACCCACTATGATTAATATATGAGGTAATTGCTTTTGTTCACTTGACCAAACCAACCCATTACGTTTAATAACCATCTGTTTGTTATAAAATTTATTGAATTTTTGTAATTGTTCTGTAAATACTTCAAATAAAATTAACTAATTTCGATTAATATATTAAATTTTGTAATTGTTGTTTCACTTTAAATAGATTAGGTTGAACTAACTGATATTGCATACTTAAATTAATAAAACTGTTAAAGCCATATCTCGAGTTTATTAAAAGAAACAAAGTTAATGTTTGAATTAGCACAACATACAATTGTCCATCCAATTATTGTTTAGACTTATGCGATTTCGAAAATTTTCATTGTTAAACAATGAAAACATTTTGAAATCGTATAAGTATAGAGACTCTAGACACAGTTATTTTAATAATAAAACATATGTCAACTCTCTATAATAAATACCAAGTCCAATCTACTATAAAAAATGAAGGCACCACAAATTTGAAACTATACCTATACCTGAATCATAAGCATTTAAGGCCTATTAACATTAAGCTTATCTACAAATTATTTTACAATGATGATGTGTTCTAGTTGCAAAGTTAATCATTTTGAAGATCAATTCATTTGGGGAGGTGTTCGCCACAAAACTTGCAGAATGTGCAAAGAAAGTCGAGATCAAAGTAAAATAAAAAAATTGCCAGTCGTCACAAATTCAACTATTGAATTGGTTGAACAACCTGAAAGCCTTGACCATGATAATATTTGGAAAATAGATACCTGTAACACTGAACGTATCGAGGTTGATTGTCTTGACGTGGGTGATCTAATTAAACATGAACTCGAAAATCTTACGGCTAATGCAGTTTATCAGACTCATTTGTTAATGAACGTGAATATAACTCCAGATATAATGACAAAGAAAGTTGCTGCACTTGTAGTTGCTGAAATAGAAGGTGGTGATGATTATTCGTAGAAGTAAGTCGTGATTTCAATTATCATTATATATTATTATTATTATTATTATTTTTTATTTTTATTTTTTTTATAATCTCAACATAGCCATGACAATTGCTTAACTAAATATATTATTGCAGTTTTTTAGACGCCAAAATGTCTAAGAAGTTTGGTGATAAGATTGGAACATTCTATTATATATGTTGTCAATCAATTGAAGCACAGAGAAAATATAAAAATTCTAACTATAAACGACGAATTTGTTATGATTGCAAAGACAAAATTACAGTTAAGATTGATATGGATCTTGGTATTACAGCAGTGGACATTTACCATGGGCTCCTGCATCCACATCCTGATATTTGTGCTGAAATGCCTGATGAATTGCGGGAAGAAATCGAAAAAAATTCGCACCTTACTACTATAGATCTCATAAATCACCTATGGCGTCGAGGTTTCGATACCACAAAATTTTCACCAAAACGGATTTATTATTGGAAGTCTATTGCAGGTAGTTATAGAACTTTTTATTTTTTAACAAAATTAACAGTAATTTTTAATCATGCAATAATTATTAAGTGCTTAAAAATTACTATTAATTTAATAATTGTCAAAGATAATTCTTAAATCAGATGATGCTAAAATTTGGGTCTTGATTTAAAATTATAAACTCTACCTATATTCTCTTATCATAAACACTAATCTTAAACCCTAACCTAACTCGTATTAAAATAAGTAAAAATTTTAGCATAATCCAATTTCAGAATCATCCTGACAACAATTTATTTTTAATTGTCAAAAATTTAAAATTATTCTTCACCAATTGCAGGTTAAAGACTTTTTCAACGTTATAAAAATCCAGTTGAATCGGCGCATCTACTACTTGAAGAACACAGTGGTCAAGGTTTCATCAGTGTCTTGATATACAAAATTCAGAGTCTACGATTATTGCATTTACAACTCCATTATTAGATGAAATTAATAATCGCAACATTAATATTAGTGAAATTTATATAGACGTGACGTATCAAACTGCAAAAAGGCATTACAAATTACATGGTATAATAGCAGATATTGATGAAACCGGATTTCCAATTGCTTATCTGCTATTTGATACAGCAAAGACAACAGATCAGAATACTGGTAGATGCAAACGTAGTGAAATCTTGAAAAAGTTATTGAAAGCCATAAAAGCACGTAATATCAACCCTTCTTTTGTGTTTACAAACAAGAATTTTGCAAAATTAATGCTATAACAGCAGTATGGGGGTCATCAGTAGTACAATTATGTGCTTGGCATATCAGATGGGCTCTAAAATTTAAGCTTAAAGAGAGGGCTAAACAATCAAATAGGGCAGGACTACTAAATGTAAATTACAACATCAATAGTGTTGCCAATGAATTCAATTTTATAAACCTACTTTTTATCTAAGCAAAGAAGATAGAAACCCGAATACGTATGTTATATGCTCAGAGATAAGGATTGAATTTTTTTTAGCTAACTGATCAGTTAACTAAAATTATTAGTTGATATGCATGGGTGTCTAAAATATCTCTCTTATTGAAATCTAAACGGCGAAAAGAGATTTGATTGTCAAAATATTAAAAACATTTAGTACATCGAAATTATTTTATATAAAAAAAAAAATTTGAAAATATTACAAACATTTCGACATACCGTCTGCTGTAGATTATTTATACTTTCGACACCCATGTATAGTTGTTGACTAATTAATTAGTCATTTGATAGTTAAACTAACTAAATTTCTTATCTAAAGGTGCATTGAGAAACAATTTTAAATATAGTACAAAAACACTTTGACCTCCATCCGCTTATACTAATTAATAACCAGGGAAAAGTTTAGTCACTAGAGAATATAAGACGAAATGCCGTAATGGAGATGTATCAGTTTTGTGTTGCAAATTCATTGTGGCTGCTATGGGCTTACCTCTGGACCAACTGGTACTCTCCACAACGATGGCACCTGTGAGTGCGGTTAACTAAACCCACCATTCCCTTTAGCAAAACCACCATGAAAATTAAAGCACATTGGGTGTCTTTAAGCAGTATTATCTATACTGCTTTAATCAATCTAGGCTAGATTTACTTCTATGGACACTTTTTAGAAAAGTAGTTCCGGCTCAGAAAGAATGATTCTTTCAGATTTTGAATGGTATAGTAGAACCGTGGTGGTGGAGGAGCTTTAAAAGGGAGTAGAACTATGCTGGTGCAAGCGACGAATAACGAGCAGCGATGCATAATAATTTCAACAACAGCAAGAGAAAACAGTGCATTAATATACAAATGGCGGATTCAGCTAGTTCATATTTTACTGATACCACTTGGTGGGTCTGCTGTTGTCCTTCCTTTGTTGGTGTTGTTTTTTATTATGCAAGCATTTAGTCTGGAGAGTTGTAAATTTGCCTAATGGAGATCGTTGAAGGTTGATTAGAAGTAATTTTGAATGCCATACTATGCTGCCGTTCCTTGTTATAAAAGATTTTATAAATGAAGATGTCACGAATAGCACCTTACCTGCCTTATCAGCAACATCTGTTGAAGTTTTTGAAACTCACAATATTGATGATATATCTGATAATAATCTTGAAAATCAAGATGATGCTTGCATCTTCGTTGAATCAAACTGACCTTTGTTTAAACAAGCATTTAAACGAGCCTATACTGAAAAATTAGTCAATAATTGGAATTATGTTCATGCGGTCATGAAGTGTAGTAAATTATTGCAAATAGAAGAAGAAGGGCAGGCAGTAGAGCAAAAGAGAAAACGGCAAACTACCTGGGCTCCAGAGAACAGAAAACTGTATCTGATATATCTAGCATTTCCAGATGAGGCAAGTAACAATGAACTGATCTCAGTGAAATGCACAATTAACCAGTATGATATATATTAACAATTAATGTGTAATAACTGTAAAAACTAAAACTGTATACTTGTATTTTTATTATCTTTACCTTGAACTTTGTTTGAGTATTATATATATATTATACACTCCATCTTATGTATACTCTCTATGAATATAATAATAATATTATAGATTAGTTTGTAGTTTTCTAATACAATTCTACACAGACTTTACGGATAGTATAATAAATTTATTTTTAAAGCTCCCTTTTAATAAATTTTACAATCTAGAGGAATACTTCTCTTTTCTTCAAAACAACAATTAAATATTAAAATATTATGAATCATAATTAAAGTATTCAAAATATTAAAGACAGTTTTTCATTGAGCCGAAATAAAAACTGTAGTGGGGGTAACTGTCACTAAAAATTTTTTTGTATAATCAGATGAAATGGTGATCATTCTGATTTGTCAGATCCAACTGTGGCAGTGGCATGACTCATATGACCCGTAATTTTTATAGCCACCCTGGTCGATTCATTTGTTATGAGTAGTTGTTTTATTGTGATTGTGTCTTGAAGGTATGTGGTTTTATTGTTTCCATTGCGAGAGTTTTGTATAGTATGGTATTCATAACTAATCAAATATATTTTGTGATAGTTATAAAAGTAGTTAAATAGTTGTTTTTGTTTTAATTTGGGTAGAGTCTGTATTTTCCTTTATAGTTTGTATAAGATATGTAGGAATAAACCCTTGTATAGTTGTGTACAAGTTAATATTATTATACTAGTAGTTGTATAAAAAGCTTGGATGGTTTATAAGCCTAGTTTGTAATTCATGTAGTTGGATATTAGTGATATCTAGCCTGAAATGTTAAAAAAATTGTTGTATAGTATTGGTGATAAGTGTATTTAGTTTAGATATATCTGGGCAGATAAACCAGTGTTCTTGATTTTCTCTTGAATTACATATTATACAGTTGTTTGTTAGAGTTAGTGATGGGTATAATGCATGTTGATATATTAAAGTAAGAAGTGTGTTAAGTATAAGCTTAATCTTAAAAGTCATTTGCTTATATAGTTTAAAGCTGGTGTAAGTAGTTGATCTTTTGTAATTGTTGTTTAGATATAACCAGGTTGTATTCCAATTAATTTGGGATAATATGGATATAATATTGTCCATCTGATGTTGAAATAACTACATTGCAATAATATAGGCATTGCATATATGTTTAATAGATCTGCAAGTTGGTTGCTCAAATATATATTATTTATATTGAATTTGATTTGATGGATTATATATAGTGTTGTTTATAAACTGAAGTGTAATTGAATAATTAGCATTTTTTGTTAGTCTGTTAGCTAAATTATTAAAGACATTATCACTATATGCTGTAACCTTTTCTAATTGGATATCGAGCTCATAAGCTTTGATTAGATTAAGTAAAGTATGCTATATTGATCAATAATTATAAGAATATCTTTTGTTAGGTATAGATGGTGACTGTATAAGTTTTTTGTATTTGGATATAATGGATTGTGAGTCTATATAGATAACAATAAAGCTTTTTTTTGGACATGTACTAATAGCAAAAAGTATTACAATAAGTTCAGCTTTGTAGGATAATAGTCAAAGTTTGATTTCTGCTGAGTAGATCTGAATAATAGTGTTATCTTAGGTTTGAATCCATCTAATTCCCATGGTATATTGTTCTGTAGTAATGTCCCTAACAGAGCCATCTGTATCAAATGATAAATAGGAATAATTTAAGTTATTTTTTGCAAGTTGTATTAATATTTGTGATAGTTGGTTATTAATAAAAATTATACGTATTGTATTATCTTAAATTGTTAAATTTCTTTAGTACTAGTGAAAGTAGTACTAGGATTAGAAACTACTTGTTCTTGTTGGACTTTACGGTATTTTGGAGTAGTTATAAGTTTGGGCTTAATAGTGGATTATTGGAATGTTGTGGGTTGTTGTGTTGCTAGTACTTGCTGTAATTGGTTTTGTTATACGAATAATTGTTGAGATTGTTGTAGGTGAGGACTTTATTGAGATGGTAGTTGCATTTGTCGAGAAAGCTGTTGTTGCTGGGTAATTAAGGGACTACTAGTAGATAATTCACTATCGATATCCATGTCTGAGGTTTCTTTTAGTAGAGTAAGTGGTGCAAGTTCTGAGGCCAAAGGATTAAAGGTATGAAAATCATAGAGAGATTGCTTAAGTTTTGAGAAGAATTCAGTATCTTTTGAAGACCCATGATGTAGGTTTAAAAGATTTTTAACACAAGATTTATAATATAGTATATCATTATGTAGCATAGCATCACTTGCTAACTGGTGTTGATTGTTAGAGACTTTGCAACTAATGGGTTGTTTATAGTGTGGACAGGTGTGTTGATGTGGAGTAGGCAATGGTGAAGAAATTGGTGAGGCAGGAACCAGTTCAGTAGTATCAGCCATTTTGAGAGCAAGTTTTTCTTTTCCTTTTTTACTAACAATTTTAATGTTAGAGGGTTTTTTATATTTTGTTTTTTCTTTAAAAACAAACTGGGTATAATATTTGCCACAGAAACATCTAACAACAGATGTGGTAGCTGGGACTTCAAAGTAGTGACATGATTTGGTTGCATTTCTAAGTACTGTAGAGATGCATTCAGTTGGTTTTTTATTTGTCGGAATAGGTCTAGAAGTATTTGATGAATCTTTATAGATTTCAATATCGAAGCTATTGTAGTAGGTCTTATAAAAATAATCAAGATCTATGGTATCAGGTTTTACAAAGGTCAAGGTAGGCATTGTATCTATAAATTTGATTAAAAACTTGATAGAGTTGTTTAATAAAAATTTAAAAATATAGAGCAAAAATAATTGCTTCTAAATAATTTATAAAAGGTGGGATATTATAAAGAAATAATTGCTAAATTTGAAAAGAGAATAAAATAAGCTTTGAAATGATATATTTTTTGTGTTATATCTCTTAGAAAAGTTTAAAATATGGGTCTGTAATGTATAAGGACTTGTTATAAGGGTGTTATATTTACAGGGGTATTATTATAGTTACTGCGGCTCATGTAACCTTGTTAACCTAGGAAGTCTAAGGTTGCACAAGTTACATGTTATACAAGTCACATGTTATACAGATCACGTATTACACAAGTTGCACAAGAGCGTCCTTATCCTGTACCCGGGGTAGAGGCTTTTATCCTATGCCCGGTATTGCCTAAATATGATTGGTCCAAATA